TTCAGTTCCTGGTAGAGTAGACGTTGTCATTTTTCTCTTTACTTCTTGGCCTCTTATGATTTTTATTTATGGATGGCAGTATTTTATTGTTTTTTGTTTTATTACTTTGCTTCTTTCCCTGTTGTTTCTGGCTTTTATTATTGATGTTTGTAATTTTTATTGGTTTTATTTTATTGATGTGCTTTTTATTTCACTGACTGTGAAGCACATTGGTCACTCTACAGTTTGTTGTAAAGTGCTATACACATAAATGTTGATTTGATTTCATAATGCTATATTGATTCTCTGCAGGTGTTACAGCACCTGAGCAAATATTTCAATAAAAGTAATAACTGAATAGGCTATAGAATGCTAGCATAAAGTCCACAACAGAACAATAAGAGTAAGAATTACTGTACCTGCAAGTTATAAATGATACAGCAAGTATCAAGTGGTAAGCAGCAAGTGAACAGTCAGTTGTTGGAGTCAAATCAAATCAAATTTATTTATATAGCACTTTAAAAACAACATCCAGTTGACCAAAGTACATAGACAGAATAACGATCACCCCAGCGTTTATATCTGGCCATAGGAACCTCTAAAAGAAACTGGCTTGAACATCTGAGCGACCTTGTAAGTTTGTGCCAATGCACTAATTCAGTGAGGTAAGATGGTACCAAATCATTAAGAGCCTTAAAAACAAAAATTAACAGTTTAAAATCATGTCTAAAATGGAATGGAAGCCAGTGGAGAGAAGCCAGAACCGGTATTATATGCTCAAATTTTCTGGTACTTGTCAGAAGACAAGCAGCAGCGTTATGAACCATTTGAAGCCGAGAGAGGGAGGACTGGTTAACACCATAGTATATAACATTGCAACAGTCAAGGCGGGAGGTGATAAAAGCATGGATTACAATCTCAAAATCATTAAAAGAAAGGAATGACTTGACTTTACTTAACAACCTGAGGTGGAAGTAGCTAGATTTCACAATTGAGTTGTTGATTTGCTTGTCAAACCTTAACTCGTCATCAAACATCACCCCTAGGTTTTTTACAGTCGACTTCAGATGACGAGCCAGGGGGCCCAGACCCTGGTCAAAAGAAGTTAAGTTCGCCAAGTCTCCAAAGACACACACTCACACACAGTTTTATTTTCATCCATCCATTTTCCAAACCGCTTAGTCCCAAACGGGGTCACGCACACACACAATCACTCCTAAGGGCAATTTAGAGACACCAATCAACCTATGCTGCATGTCCTTGAACTGTCGGAGGAAGCCGGAGCACCCAGAGAAAACATGCAAACTCCGCACAGAAAGGCCCCGAGGCTCGAACCCGGAACCTTCTTGCTGTGAAGCAACAGCGGTAACCACTGGGCCACCGTGCTGCCCTGTTTTATTTTCATTAAGATTTAAAAAGTTAAGTGCCAGCCATGATTTCAAGTCTGTCAAACAGTCAAACAATGGCTGTAATGACATCCCTCTCGTTGCCTTCAATGGTAAATATATCTGAACATCGTCTGCATAAAAGTAAAAAGAAAGGCCATATTTCCTTAAGACAGAACCTAATGGAAGCGTGTGCAGTGAGAACAAAATGGGACCAAGCACAGATCCCTGGGGGACACCACAGGAAAGGATTGTTGAAGAGGATGAACAGGTACCAATATTAACAGTAAAACTTTTATTGGTGAGATAAGAGTCAATGCGGAGAAGATCACCAGGACTCCACTGCCCTCTCTGCAGAGCATTTACAACCGCAGGGTGCTTAGGAGAACTGCCTCCATCCTCAAGGACCCCACCCACCCCCAGCACGGACTGTTCATACCCCTACCCTCCGGCCAGAGGTTCAGAAGTGTAAAGTGCAGGACCTCTAGACTGAAAAACTCTTTCTTTCCCTCTGCCATCAGACTCCTAAACAGCTGACAGGAGTTTACTACCAGGAAATAGGTCATGTAATGACGTACTGATGACCTGTACTGTTTACATTCTCAGTTTGCATATGCATAATTGCACATTCACTGTTGACTACTGCACATACAGCTCCCATGTAGCATACATTCTCTTATTTTATTTTTATTATATCTCATTTGCTGCTTTAAAGTGCCTTAGTTTTTCTGTTACTTATTTATCTACTTTATATTTCATTTGTATTGTGTGTCATTCATGTGGATGGCAAAGTAAGAATTTCATTGTAAAGGGAAATGTGTTTCCGTACTGTGTATATGACAATAAACACTTTGACTTTAATGTGTTGGAAGTAGGAATAACATGCAGCGTAAGGATCCGAGTGACTCTAACGTGAGCCAGGCTGTGATGGCTGAACAACTGGGTCAGAGCATCTCCGACCCAGCAGTCTGCAAAAGTGGCTGGCCCACTTTGTGGACCCCTCCCACCACAGCCTCTCTACCCTCTCCCCTCTAAAAAAAATCTATGTGTGACTTGTAGAAATGACACATACAAAAATTTGAACTTGAACCTTAAAGCTGAAAGCAAAAAATAAAAGATATGAAGTTGATAGTCAAAGAATCAAAAAATATATATATACAAAGAAAAGAATGTAGTTGGCAGGATGACAACATAAGTGTCCCAGCAGCACCAGAGGGTGTCTAACTGATAAAACACACTGGAAGCATCTTCTCACGCTGCAGATAGAATTCCATTATATTGAATGAGTCAGCTCACACTGAATCCGTGAGACTCATGTCTCCCATAGAGCCCTTTTCCCCCCTGCTGTGTTTAGTGAAGTGTAATCTCCACAGTCAGCTGTTTGAATCCCACAATCCTGTTTTCTGTTTCTACTGGAATCTGTTCCGACTAATCAGGCTGCTTGAGTTTCACTTTCTCCCTCTGTAATGAGCCAGGGGAGAAAAAAAAAAAAAAAAAAAAAAAAAAATAAAAATATCGTTTTTTTTTGCTACTTAAAAACATGATTTTTTTTTTCCTGATGATGTTACATGAAAACTATTTTTGTCCGGTACACTTTTGCTGTTGTCCGGCCGCTGTCCTGCTGACAGACAGCTGTTCTAATGACTTTAAAGACAGAACACGACACTCATGTCTCTTTTAGTGTGTTTTTACCAGTTAGCTTCAACATCAGAAAGCTCACAACCCACCCATGTACCTGAGACAGAGTGTAATCATAGTAAAGAATAAGTTTTATTTAACAGGTCGGTCACTGACATTTGTAGGAAGCATGCACTCACTGTGAAACAGAAAATTGAGAGATTAGTATTTAAGAGCAGTGGTGGAAGACTTACTCAGATTGTTCACTTAGGTGGAAATACCACAGTGTAAAATACTCTGTTACAAGGCCCGCATTCAAAAAGTTATTTAAGAACAAATGTATGAGCATCCAAACATACTTGGAGCAAAAGTACCCATTATGCAGAATGACACATTTCACATTAGTGTACATATTATTGGATCTTACTCTGAAACAGAACTAAGATTATCAAATACACGTATTGCAGTAAAAAGTACAAGGCCTGTCTCTGAAAAGTAGAGGTCCAAGTATGAAGTAGCAGTACAGTGAAATACTCAGGTACAAGTACTTCAAAATTGTACTTAAGCACAGTACTTGAGTAAGTCCAGCTCTGCCTCAGAGAAATTCATTCATTTTCTACCGTTTGTTCCCTGAGCGGGGTCACGGGGGGGGGCCGGAGCCAATCCCGGCCGGCAATCGGGCGAAGGCGGGGTACACCCTGGACAGGTCGCCAATCCATCGCAGGGCTAACACATAGACAAACAACCACACACACGCACATGCACTCCTATGGGCAATTTTAGAGACACCAATCAACCTAAGCTGCATGTCTTTGGACTGTGGGAGGAAGCCGGAGTACCCGGAGAGAACCCACCCAAGCACGGGGAGAACATGCAAACTCCACACAGAAACGTCCCAGGTGGGGCCCTGGAACCTTCTCGCTGTGAGGCAACGGCGCTAACCACTGTGCCACCGTGCTGCCCCTCAGAGAAATACTGTAGCAAACAGAAATATGAGTAACACAGTCCTATAAAGGTAAAATGAGGCCAGTTTAACAGTGTCACTGTTGACACTGTTCACAACAGTGTTCTACTTCTCTGCACTGTGGACGTTTCTCCTGTGGACTAGCACTGCACTACTAAACCTGAAAGCTCTCCCACATATTTCACAGGAATACGGCATCTCACCTGTGTGGATTCTTAAATGAACATTCAGTGCTGAGCTCTGCTTAAATCCTTTCCTACAGGTCTTGCAAAAATATGGCCTCTCACCTGAGTGGACTCTCAGATGTTTATTCAACTCAGACTTACACCTAAATGTTTTGTCACAGGTGCCACATCTGAAAGTCTTTTTACCTGTGTGAGTGTCACAGTGAGTCTCTGACATGGCAGGCTTGTCTACACTGTTACTGTGACATCTTGTGCTTCTTCTCGTGTGGTTAGACAAGGTATCAATACATCTGACAGTCTTCGCAAATGTTTGACAATACAGCTTCCTACCATTATGAATTCTTAAATGAGCGTTCAAATTTGATGTATGCTTGAATTTTTTCCCACATGTTTCACAGGAATATGGCCTCTCCCCTGTGTGGCTTCTCAGATGTATTTTCAGTACGGACCTAAACAAAAAATCTTTTCCACACGTGTCACATAAGAAAGGCTGTCTGTGTGAGAGAGATTTACAGTGTGTCTCTGACAAAGGAGAGTTGTCTACACTGTTACTCTGACTTGTGTCTTTGTGGTGTCTCCTCTCTGGCTCCGCATTACTAGCTGATCCTGAGTCTCCATGATCCTGGGACTCAGCTACAGCAGAGCTGTGAGAGAGGAGCTGCTGGTCACTGGTTGGTTCTGCTTCACTGTGGTCTCTTTCCTCATAAGTAGGAGTCAACATAAAGGGATCGGTCTCCTGCTTCAGTCCAAGCTGCTCTCCCTCCTGACTGCTGCAGAGTTCCTCCTGTTCCTCTTTAATCTCTGGAGGCTCTGGGTCCTCTTGGTCCAGACTGGAGTTCCTCTCCTGGTTCCAGAGCTGCTGTTCAGCCAGAACCTCCTCCTCCTGACAGACATGTTGCTGTGGCAGCTCTGGAGGGACAAAGGAAGGAACAGGTCACTGATGTGATGAGAGGAAAACTGACATCTAAGCAGATAAATACACGTTAAACCACTGGCAGGGCTCTATAGTGAGAACATGTCGCTCACATATGCACGTGAGATTGACAAATTATGTGGACGTACCACTGGGAGTGACTCTTGGGTTCTGAGTCTTATGAGCAAAGCTCAGTGTCAAAACATTCAGGCAGCAGCTTCCCACTTTAGCAGTTGATCGTCACTGTTGCAGTTTGTCAAAATGACAAACAGCAGGTCAGAGCAGCTGTTGTTAACTGATGTTAAGAGAGCCAAAGTCAAAATGTTTCTAAAATAAAAAATTTTAGGAGTGTTAATAGACAATAAATTAAGCTGGAAATCACAAATAAATCTCTGGTTCCTGCAGCTCCGTGCATAGCCTCATATTACCACCGCAGTCTTGATCAACAGCTACCCACTTGAAATGTGGAATAGTGACTATGTCTGCCACTTCTCCAAGCTGCTGTGCAATATTTACTCCCATGTGGCTCACCTCCGTTACTTTGGTTTCCATTGCCAATGCACAGAATTCCCACTCCTCAGATAAGAAGTGACAGGTGACAGCCATGTACACCTCCATACTCAGTGATACCCAAATATCAGTTGCATGTTTAACAGGAGAAAGTTTGGTCTTACATTTCAGAGACAGGGCCTGTGAATAATCTGTTATCTCTGTAGGCTCTGCTGCATATTTTTGGGTGTGGATGCCGATGGTGGTGGCTGTGATGACTAGGGATGCACCTATGGGCAAAGTTATTATTAAGATGGGCTACTCTACCTTTTTATGCAAAAAATGGCAACTATAGTTTCCAAACAAAGTGTACGTTTCTATCATATGTTCTTACAGCTGAGCTAAGTTTACTAAACTAGTATGATCTCGGGTTTTTACACCATAAAATAGCCTAGAATTTAAGAGCGTTCAGGTGAGTTTTCGTGCTAGTTGTGCCCGTTTCCAAAGGCGTGTTTGGCATACTGCTTTTGTGTTGTCGTCATGCAGTTTGAAGTGTCCCCACTGGGCTGAAGCCTTCGCCATTTTGCCTTCCCTATAACGGCCAAGGTGGACCAACACTATGGTCACTGCTGGACGACGGGACCGCTCCCAGAAGTGAAGCTGGCTGCAAACCTTCATGTCAGGGGATTAGGTCAAAGGCCAAGACAACGATGATGTACAGTATAACTATATTACATAAAATGTGCTGTCAAAATGCATGGTGCACTTTACCTTTATTGCTAAGCGAAAAGTAATCAAAGTTAATATTGTCTTTGTGTGCCGTCCCATCCCCTCTTTCAGTTTTACTGGACAGAACTAATATAAATAGAATCCTGGCCCTATATTAGTCCCATAGTTTTAGTAAGCTGATTCCGGTGTAACAGACCTATTCTGTGTAGCTTTACTTCTGGTTTCCAAACGATATCCAACAGTCTGCGCTGACGATCGATCTCTTCCTCGTACTCGACGACAGTTTTCTCAAAGACTCCGAATATTTCTTCAGCAGCAGCAGTTAGTCGCTCGGTGACGAACTCTCTCAGATACTGAACTAAAGACATTGTTGATTTGATAGAAGAGAAATGTTTATCTGCCACACATCAATTAAACTAACATTACTGGCAAGTTTACTTCCGCCAGATGTCGCACTCTGAAGCTCCGGCGGCGAAAGGGAGTCAGATTTAAGTTCCGTCTTCAGCTGTGATTGTAGGTCTGTGTCGCTTGGTATTACAGGAAAGCGTTTATTCTTCTGTTTTTTGGTTTTAATGGCGGTTGGCAACCAGCTTTAGGTGCATTACCGCCACCTTCCAGACTGGAGTGTGGATCAGACCGGCCCCTATCTACTACCACACCAAAATAACCCCAGTCTGTTCACCTTATATCTTGGGTAACCCTGCGCTCTAAGAACTTAATAAGCAGGGAAATTTTTCCTTTGGACTAACGCATTTAATTGATGTCCTCCGGATCTAATTTCCAGTCATTTTGTAAAAACATTACATAACACTGGCATATAACATTTCCCCTGCCTTCAAAATTGCAGTAAAAATACAAATTACTCAGATTTTAGTTAAGAATGAAACATTACAGTACTCATGTGCAACGGCCCCTGTCCATTAAGGCCAAGATGTGTAAATAGACATCCTTCTATCAGCTGGTCAACTTGGAGCCATCTTATTTTCATTGAGTTCACATGCTGTCAACAAATTCCTTCAACCTGTTTTGTGTCACACATGACAGTGACAAAGATAAATATCGGGATCGTGTGACTATTCATATTGGTGGCATTACTTGCTGGCTTCTTATCCCACCATACTTCCTTCTTTTCCCCCTTCACATGTTCATTTTCTCTGTTTGGATGAACTAAAACAGAGGTTAACACTAGGTCAAAGAAATCAAAGTCTTCTAAACAAATGAATGAGAGGACCAGGCCGAATAAAATGTAACAGTGTTTTCACTCTCTTTGCCAATTCAGGCTCTTTCACTGCCGCTGCTCTGTATTTTAAAGATAAATGTGCATTATCACACACTAATAACCTGCACAGGATTAAAACAGCAGCTCTGCTCTTTATTTACCCATTGCCATGGTGAATTGTAGATTTAGAACTCCATGGATGATGGATTTTTATAGTCATCACAAGTGCACTTAACCCCTTTTTAAAAGCATCCTTACTTTAGTTGTATCATCAAGTACAACTATTACCTTGTAGCCAAAACATGATATATATACACATATATAGTAGATTATTCTTCTCAAGTTTTATAGACCTTTGGTGTCCAAAAAACACATCAGCAAACATGGGTGCTGGAATCTATTTTAAGACACTCCCACAAATAAAATAGGGAGCCAAAAGCCACAGCTGAAAACAGCCCCAAACTAATACACCATTTGCTCCTGTTAGAAAAACAGACTCACAATGACATCTACTGTCGCTGGTGCGGAGGCATAAAATAAACACTGGGCACTGATATACTAAACTTAAATAATAAAAACCTTCTTAACTATTTTGGCACAATGTATGACAGTCCTCAGTACAGCATGATAAACACAAATACAGATATTTGTCTTCTTTAGTTGTTCTCTAGTTTCACTTCTCTTCTGTGTATCTATACACTTTCTGCTTGTTGCACTGCTTTTGGAAATGTTATACAGGACCTGGTCTCCATTTTTTAAAAGCAGCACTTTTGTTTTCACAGAAAACTTTATTAACCTTGCTAAAACAGGGTTTGCTGGTACTCCAGAAAGTCATAGGATTACATGACATCTTCACAACATTTCATGTAAGATGTCTCTGTATCTGCCAGTTTGTCCAGCGAGGAACAGTCAGTTCTTTAGCCTGTGAATGGACACAAGACACCACGGTCTTATAATTCTCCTCATTTCTATTAACTCTGTGCAATCATAAAATAAATGAAAACAAAATGAAAGGTCAGGCTGTAAACCAAAAAGCTCTACTACACGTTTTATAATAATTTGATTTTAACTCACATAAACTCACACAACTCTTCAAAGATGGTACTCTGAGTCTGTTCCCACAGATGTTCAGACATGTGGATTCTCACCCATGTGCTGTCTCATGTGCTTTCTGAAAGATGACTTCTCACTGTATCTTTTCCCACAGGTGTTACAGACAAATGGCTTCTCACCTGTGTGGATTCTTAAATGATCATTCAAAGTGCCTCTCTCAGTGAATCTTTTCCCACAGGTGTTGCATAAATATGGCTTCTCACCTGTGTGGTGTCTCATGTGACGAGACAAATGGTGACTACGTTTGAAACCCATACCACATGTTTCACAAGAATATGGTTTCTCACCTGTGTGCAGTCTTAAATGAGCATTTAATTCTGATGTCTGCTTAAATTTTTTCCCACAAGTGTTACAAGAATGTGGACGGTCCTCTGAGTGGACTGTCAGGTGTCTATTCAATTGAGACTTCCACCTAAAAGCTTTTCCACAGGTGTCACATTTGAAAGGCTTTTTACCTGTGAGTGTGTCACAGTGAGTCTCTGACAGGGGGGACGTGTCTACGCCGTTACTGTGAGGGCTCTTCTCAATTGTGTGGGTTCTCACATGACTAGACAAGTGATCTCGACGTTTGAAACTCTTCCCACATCTTTCACAAGAATATGGCCTCTCGCCTGTGTGAATTCTCAGATGTTTTTTCAATAAACACTTAAACCTAAAAGCTTTTCCACAGATGCCACATTTTACAGTCTTTTTACCTGTGTGAGTGTCCCAGTGAGTCTCTGACAAAGGAGAGTTGTCTACACTGTTACTCTGACTTGTGTCTTTGTGGTGTCTCCTCTCTGGCTCCGCATTACTAGCTGATCCTGAGTCTCCATGCTGGCTTCCTTCCTGATCCTGGGTCTCAGCTACAGCAGAGCTGTGAGAGAGGAGCTGCTGGTCACTGGTTGGTTCTGCTTCACTGTGGTCACTTTCCTCATAAGTAGGAGTCAACATAAAGGGATCAGTCTCCTGCTTCAGTCCAAGCTGCTCTCCCTCCTGACTGCTGCAGAGTTCCTCCTGTTCCTCTTTAATCTGTGGAGGCTCTGGGTCCTCTTGGTCCAGACTGGAGTTCCTCTCCTGGTTCCAGAGCTGGTGGTCAGCCAGAACCCCCTCCTCCTGACTGACATGTTGCTGTTGGAGCTCTGGAGGGACAAAAGGGCACAAGGAACATGTCACTGATGTGATGAGAGAAAAATATACTAAGCTGAAGTTAGATTCTGATTCAACAGTTAAAGGGAAATGACACAAAAATGCTCAAGCATAAATGTAGAGCTGTTTAAGGTGGACCTTCTTGTTGTTCTCTACTGTTGTCTGGATAGAGAAGAGAAGTGGAATCATCATGATAATCACCTTTATTTGGCCAAGTATGTTACACAAAAGCAATTTGTTTCCGGTACAGAACCGAGGCAGCCATCTCTGGTGCCAACTCACACCAATGGCTCTAACCATTGGGGGCATCTTGGGGTTCAGTGTCTTGCCCAAGGACACTTCAACGTGTGGACTGCAGGCAGCATGATTCAACCCGCTAACCCTCCAGTTGGGAGACTACTGCTCTACCCACTGAACCACAGTAATGTGTTGCTTCAAAAAACAAAGTTTTCACAGATTTGAAAGTAGGATTCACACAGTGTTTAGACTTTAAATAAATGACAAATATCTTTCACAACAAAATTAAGCAAAAAGCGAATCACTTGCTTTGTAACTAAAGTTTCCTTTAGCTCAGTCATTTCCAGTGACTGCTGAGGGCACGTCGGTGCCAGTGGTGAGGGGGGTTTTGGATGTCAGTGGATGGGTGCTAACAAAGCAGCTGTGTTAAATGGTTTCATGCCTGTAAATAAGCAATGCTGATCATTTTTTGTGTGAGTTAATTATGCAATCAGTCGGCTAGGTTATGCCTTGTGCGTTCCCACATTCAATAAAGTCAAGGGACAGTGACAGCAGTGAACTGGTGTCTTCTTTCTTCGTCATCCATTATTTCCCTTATTAAAGTAAATAAACTCCATAAGGTACAGTAAAGTTGTATACACAATGGTTACTATGTTTTGATGTTGATTGTGAAAAAGAAATACTTTTTAAAATAGATTTGTTAAGTGTTAATTGAATATACTGTATTTTTTCAAAATGTAAACTCGATGCTGAGTGTCATTTTGTTCATTTGTTTGTTCTTAAAGGATAGAATGTCTATATTAGGATTAAGGTTGAATTTTTCATTTAATGGCTCTCTTTGGTGCTGTCTGTGTGCCTTTTGCAATGCAGGTCTTCACTGTAGGAACGTGTACATTATTTGGCAACAACTGCCACTCATAACGAATGGGAAGGGTGTGCGTGTGAGGAGGTCTGGCGCGGAGGGGGCGGCAAAAGCGTGCAACCTGACGTAAGTGGGCATTCGCCCAAAACAGGTTGAGAACTACTGCTTCAGCTGTCACTTCAGACATCTGGGCAAATAAAACAAGTTTAAATCATCAGGTCCTCTACTAGTGACATACCTGTGTTAGTTTTAATAAGACCATCCGGGTCTGACAGACCTGTCCTGTGGAGCCTTATCTCGGGTTTCCAAACGATATCCAGCAGTCTGCGCTGACGATCGATCTCCTCCTCGTACTCGACGATAGTTTTCTCAAAGACTCCGAATATTTCTGCAGCAGCAGCAGTTAGTCGCTCAGTGACGAACTCTCTCAGATGCTGAACTAAAGACATTGTCGATTTGTTAGAACGAATTTTTTATCTGCGATACCCCGACACCGTCGTCTTCAACTCACTCCACACATTCTGAGAGCTAACGCTGCTAGTGCTTTGCTTGTTTACTTCCGGATGTCGCACTGTGATGTTCCGGTTGCGACTTCCGCCTTCAGCTGGAGACAAAGAGGGGAAAAAGCAGCTGGTCCATTTGTATGGGGCGCCGTTTGTAAAAAATAGCACTTACACTAGTTTTCTCACATTTAGCTGAATGTGACAAAGTCTAAATGTAAAAGTTAAATATAAATTTAAATGTTAAATGCTAAATGTAAATGTTAAATGTAAATGTTAATTGTCTCGCCAAGTGTAAAACTGAATATTTAGTAGCTCCACAGCCTTGCCCTATTACGGCGCAGCACACAGCCCCGCCCATGATGCTGGTTTGAGGTCTTTGAGTCAGCATCACTGATTCGAGTTCAGCATCATGGGCGGGGCTGTGTGCTGCGCCGTAATAGGGCAAGGCTGTGGAGCTACTAAATATTCAGTTTTACACTTGGCGAGACAATTAACATTTACATTTATATTTAACATTTACATTTAGACTTTGTCACATTTAGCTAAATGTGAGATAACTAGTGTAAGTGCTATTTTTACAAACGGCGCCCCATACATTTGGGCCTTGTATTTTGTTAATTAGTTCACATAGTGATGGATACTTGAACAAAGCAACACGTTTTAAAGCTCTCTGTAATAATTTGTTTGTAAAAACGTATTCAGAAAAGCAACTAAACCTGTCAAATAAGGGTAGCGGAGTAAAATGTTTCATATTTGCCTGTTAAATGTAGCTTACAAGTATAAACATTAAACGAAATTACACCAAACACAAATATATCAAAATAGTTTTTAATGAGCTGTTCGAGACTGAATCGGTTTGTCATTACACAATAATACAATTTTATTTATGCAGGACTTTGCAAGGAACTAAAGTTGCTTTGACCATTGGAGGACAGAGTACTTGAGTAAATGTATTCCGTGACATTCCACTACTATACATATACCTGTTCAATATTAATCTCTTACAGTTGAAACTGTAACTGTATCATATCATACATTACCTTCAGCCCCAGCAGTGTCTACTCTTTGGTGTATGTGCTTTTGTGGTTCTTAACCCAAAGAGAAAAATATACTATTTGGTGTTACGCACAATGAACATCCAAACATATTAACTGAAATCCAAACTAAGATTTCAGTTAATATTTCAAACAAAAAAAGTTATTGTCTGTAACAAGTATTTCTTCCTTGCTATTTTATGCATTCACCAACCAGTCAAGGTGCAGTTTACATGCAAAGTCAAAGTCAACTTAATTTATAAGCACATATAAAACAACAGGGGTTGACCAAAGTGCTATACATCAATCAATAAGAAAGTCACTTTCGGTTTTTCCAGTTTCGGGGTCGCCACAGCGAGTTGTCACACTGACGACTCCTATGTTGACATTTGGCACGTGTTTTACACCAGACGCCCTTCCTGATGCAACCCTGACTCAAACCTGGGCCGCAGCGGCGGGAGCGCTCTTGACCACTAGCCTACCAGGGACAGCGCTATACAGCAATCAATAAATAATGAGAAAAACAAAACAAACATCTGAAATATAAGAAAATAAGTATCTTAAACTATTTTAAAAGCCAATGAATAAAAAAAGGTTTTTAGGTGAGACTTAAACATTTCCAATTGTGTTGCCTCTAAGGCATTTGTTTAGCTAATTATTTGTTAAAGTTGTTATCTATTTTGGTGAAGGGCCAGGTTAATAATTACATATGTATAAAGAAATGATAACGCTAAATGTATTTACCGATTGGCACCGGGTGATGACGTCACTTCCGGTTTTAGCGATTTCACGCTAGTAAGAAAGATGGCGGACGCAAGGCTCTTGTTCGCGGCATGTGTATTCATTTTCATCTGTTAGGAAACGTGATAGAAGCAATGCCGTAAGTTATGATATGTGTCAGTTGACATAGTATTGTTAACATTTGCTATGATTGTTTTAAAAAGAGTTAGATGTGACGTTGAGGAAGTTTATTTACAGTTATGCATAAGCTAGCTGATACTATGCATTTGAATGTGTGTTGAAGTGTACCACCATTTATAGTATAGATATTGGTTAAATAAGCATAACTGACAGTGTTTATTGTATTGTTTATTTGCAGTTTTTACCGTGATGTTATAGAAGAGTGGACAGTAAATGTTTTTGATCTTGCTACAACCTCTTCATTGACTACGGTTTAACTCGGTGTTAAGTCAGAGTATCAACACGCTGCACAAGAACACTAAACCAATATTGGTGCTTCTCGGATGTGTAATGGTAGGCTGTTCCACAGCTTGGAACTCATTTTTATAACTCTCCCCCTTAAATTACATTGAGACTGTAAGTTGCGCATTTAATTGGGGGCGTGGCCGCTTTGAGTGACAGGCGGTAGGGTCCCGCCCAAACCAATGATTGACGTCACGGTACGTTTGTCCATCTTTTATATACAGTCAATGAGCTGGACTTCAGATTGACGGGCAGCTTTTATTGTGAAGAACTGTGAACGGAACTTTCACCGTGATGACGTTGAGAGCTGCGGCAATGACTGGACCGTGTGTGTGGTTCAGCGTAACAGGATCACCAGCGTGTGGTTGTTACACACTCTGGTGACCGGGAGGCTACTGTCAAGGAGGAGCAGGACGAGGCGTGGAGCAGGTGCAGCCGGACGCCAAAGGATTCAGTCTGGAGCATGAGCGCGAGCAACCTCGGGTTGACTCTGCGCCCTGTGAGGAGGCTCTGAAGGTGGAGCTAAAGGTAGAACTGATGGTTGAGGATGCCCTGTCGAGCACTTCTTCTGAGCCGACTGACGCCCGACCACCTCCACCTCCGGACCCTCCCTCTGCTGCTCAGATTGAAGACGCCCATGGCGGAAGCGCTTCCTGTAGGTATAAAGTTTGCGGGACGGTGTTCAGCTACCGCGGTTCTATATTAAACCACGCAGAGACCCACGCCTAGGACGAGTGTGCCTCTGCGGCACGCTGCTGCCCGACAGAGATAACCTGCTGGAGCACCCCAAGAACCACGTCTGCCGATACTGCGGTAAAACCTTCCGGCGGCGCATCGAGCTGGTGGTGCACACGCGCAGCCACACGAGCAAGAAGCTGTTCGGATGCAGGGTGTGCGAGAAGAGCTTCACCGGCATGGACAGCATGGAGATCCACATGAGGACACATGCAGGCGAGAAGCCGTATTGCTGCAGCGTCTGTGGGAAGGGCTTCAACATCACTTCGTCCATGATCCGGCACTCCGAAGAGAAGCCCTACTGCTGCCACGTCTGCCACTAAGGCTTCACCAATAGCTCGGACATTGAAGATCCACGGGAGAGAGACCCTACACCTGCCCTGTCTGCGGGAAGCGCTTCGCGCTCAGCACACCGCTCACATACCACACGGAGGACAGGCCGAAATTCCGCAGCCACTGCAACAGGTGCTCCAGTGACATGTACACATTGCGCCGACACATGAAGACTCACGGAGGACAAGACTCAAAACAGCAGCTGAGGTTTATGTCACTCTGGGGGCACAACTTCAAGCCTGGAGTTTGTTTTTCTCCTCTGTACTATCGCGTTTACGACTTCTGACAGGAAATCCTTATTTGGGTAAAGGGGGTGGAACTAAAACATGACAAGTCCAAGTAGGTTTATTTTATATAAAAACTTATTTTGTCCTTTAATAAAACATTGAGACGAGTTTATCGCTGTTGATGTTAATATTCCTGTTTGGACTAAAGTCCTGGCGCTAACTGGTTATTCGACCTGACGTGTATTCTTCTCTGCTGACGTATTTTGTTTCCTTTTCACTGCAGGGACCCAACAACCTGCACTTTTAATAGCCTTCAGTTATGGCGTGGCGCACCATAACTGAAGCTGTGTCACAAGGTCTCTATCTCCTGTCTGCCTCTGTGACTACTTAAGAGTAAAGGCCCAAAATAAATCTTTAAAAAAGCTAAATTAAATACATTGTTCTAAGACGATGGTGCAGACCTCAGTGTGGCAGAGCAGACGCTCCAAGCCTCAGATATATGAACACTGAAAGCTCTGCCTCCAGATTGAGGGATTTTCTATTGAAAGCAACATTAACCACGGAGCTGCTAAAACGAAGTATATTCTTCAGGGAAAGACGACGCCGCAGAGCTCCATTACCTGTAGACAACAAAACTGCTTCCACCTGGAACACCACACACTGAAACTGATTCCTGTAGCAACGTTTTATTATTCAAATGTTAAATTGGATTTACAGGCACATAGGGACAAACAGGGTCGCTCAGGTCCACACAGGGCTGCAAACATGACAGCATCAAGACGGAGCAGGCTGTGCAGCACATGCAACAGCATCTAAGACGACAGGATTACACTAGGAATAACTGGGACATTATAACTTAAAATACTGCTTATACATCATACCTGTATGTGCTGCACAGCTGGCAGAGCACCTGGCTAGGTGGAGGCAGACCAGTGATACTAAGTGAGCATTCAAGATTCTCTCCACTGCTCAGACAAAACAACCAGCCACTTTTAATTTGTCAGCTGAGTCCATGGTGATCTACAGAAGCTGCCAGTGGAGACTGATTTTCTAAACCTAAGAACTCTGCTAGTGTTTGGCTGTTACTACAGATTAACATCCGGTTTTGGCTGCGCGTTCAGGACCTGCTTGTTTTTGTTAGAAACCCTGCTCCAGTATCAACGTGAGAAGAAGTGGCCATTTTTGTGAAAAAAATTGTGGAAGCCCTTGTGGGGGCCGATTACAATTAAATTTTATATTACTGCGCAAAACTCTTATTAAAACAGTTAACTACTGTAGCAACATGTGACCGAGCTCCTGATCTCCATGGAGTCAAGTGAATGAATTTGCTAAAATGACTCCTGACACCGGTTTTGAAATGTGTCCTGATTGCCAACAGGGTCACAGCTCAAATAAACTAAACAGAAACATTCAGTTAGGCTGAATTAACTTGTGACAAACACAGAGAATCAGTAAAACACAATGAAATGTTGGCATCATGAAAGACTGCATCACTGAGCCATGTACACAAGCATATTGTAATAATAACATACCACAGACGTTATCATAGATATTTATATAGATTTAACCTGGAGGTTTCAGTTGATTGTGATAGAACTTAACGTGGCTGTTTACATGTTGAAGTTTTACGTCTTAAAAATCAGCCAGTCCTGAATCATTTAGGCATATATTTACACAAATAATTTCCTAACTATGTCATAATAAAAAACATTCACACAAAAATATAACATTTGAAATAATTATTAGCACCAGTGTATCAGATAAAATTCTCGCTACGCAAAATGTACAAAGTTGCATAGTGTTGATTTAGCCCGGAAGAAAAATGTTAGTGTGATGGGTAGAAACGCCAGTGATAAGCAGCAACCTCTGGGATGACGACAAACAATAAAACATCTGTAGTGTCAGAACATCAGCACACCAAATGGCGTTTGACCGCAGAGAGAAATGTCGGAGCTGCTGGAAAGAAGCACCTACAGACACCCTGAAGTCCAGAGAGATTTTTGTCCTGTGCATGTATGTTACCATGCGTGTTATTTTATCTCGTCAAAGCAAGATAAAATCTCTGGAAACAAGATGACTTAGTGCCCACATGGCTTCTGTTGTGTGCCAGACAGTAACATGCATGCAGAAGATCCGCATCTTGTGGAAACAATTTGTTTTGTTCACCTAAGGTGGTTCTGGTGGGAACGAGACAATATCCTAAGAACACAAGTTAGTTTTGCCATATCGTAAGCTAATGCCCTCAAGACAGTGTCTCACGTGCATAGGATGATCACTTGTGCTTAACATGGATGGATGTTTTATCCCATGCCACTGGTATCTTGATAGACTCATGAGCTAGTAAGTCGACCTATGCCCGTGAAATACACATCTGACATTATCTAATATCTTGTTTCCTTCTTGTATCTTGCACATACAAGAAAGATTCCTGCTCCCACTGGATCCTATATATATCCACTATGATCCACTATACTTGTATACACCAGATTATTACTAGTGTCCACCAAGACAGAGCTCTTATACAGTATTGTTCAAAATACATTTCAATCAGTGAGGTCATCAATTTTGTGAAATAACAGGTGTGAATCAGGTGGCCCCTATTTAAGGATGAAGCCAGCACTTGTTGAACATGCATTTGAAAGCCTGAGGAAAATGGGTCGTTCAAGACATTGTTCAGAAGAACAGCGTACTTTGATTAAAAAGTTGATTGGAGAGGGGAAAACCTATAAAGAGGTGCAAAAAATTATAGGCTGTTCAGCTAAAATGATCTCCAATGCCTTAAAATGGAGAGCAAAACCAGAGAGACGTGGAAGAAAACGGAAGACAACCATCAAAATGGATCGAAGAATAACCAGAATGGCAAAGGCCCAGCCAATGATCAGCTCCAGGATGATCAAAGACAGTCTGGAGTTACCTGTAAGTACTGTGACAGTTAGAAGACGTCTGTGTGAAGCTAATCTATTTTCAAGAATCCCCCGCAAAGTCCCTCTGTTAAAAAAAAGGCACGTGCAGAAGAGGTTACAATTTGCCAAAGAACACATCAACTGGCCTAAAGAGAAATGGAGGAACATTTTGTGGACTGATGAGAGTAAAATTGTTCTTTTTGGGTCCAAGGGCCACAGACAGTTTGTGAGACGACCCCCAAACTCTGAATTCAAGCCACAGTACACAGTGAAGACAGTGAAGCATGGTGGTGCAAGCATCATGATATGGGCATGTTTCTCCTACTATGGTGTTGGGCCTATTTATCGCATACCAGGGATCATGGATCAGTTTGCATATGTCAAAATACTTGAAGAGGTCATGTTGCCTTATGCTGAAGAGGACATGCCCTTGAAATGGTTGTTTCAACAAGACAATGACCCCAAACACACTAGTAAACGAGCAAAGTCTTGGTTCCAAACCAACAAAATTAATGTTATGGAGTGGCCAGCCCAATCCCCGGACCTTAATCCAATCGAGAACTTGTGGGGTGATATCAAAAATGCTGTTTCTGAAGCAAAACCAAGAAATGTAAATGAATTGTGGAATGTTGTTAAAGAATCATGGAGTGGAATAACAGCTGAAAGGTGCCACAAGTTGGTTGACTCCATGCCACACAGATGTGAAGCAGTTATAAAAAACTGTGGTCATACAACTAAATATTAGTTTAGTGATTCACAGGATTGCTAAATCCTAGAAACAAAAACATTTGTACAACATAGTTTTGTGTTTGTACAGTCAACGGCAGACACTGCTATTTTTTTGAACACACCCCTTTCAACTAATTGCCCAATTGCACAGCCTTAAGAGCGTGCATATCATGAATGCTGGGTCTTGTTTGCTTTCTGAGAATCTACTGCACCTACTGGTAACTTGTTTGCCATGTAGCAATAAAAAATATACTAAAAACCTGGATTATTCTGGTTAATCACATTGTACTGCTATTATTTTGAACAATACTGTATCTTCATAAGGTCAAGAAATTATCTTGCACATACACAATCAGTTGTATGTACAGCATCCATATCTTGTGCAGACAGGATGATGTCTTGCAACCCTAACCCACCTTCCACATCTTCTATTAACAAGGCTATAACTTCTCTACACAACATATGGATCCTGAGAGCACAAAATAGTATCTTCTGTACACAAATTATAATTTTGTGCACAAAAACAAAGATACAAAATAGACAAGACATAAGAACCTTGTTTTGTGGGATCCATCATAAATCATGATGGCATGATGCAGATCACCTGGGAACAAGTTATCTTATACATGCAAGATTTTAAAAATAAATTTTCCAGGACTTCAGGGGCGTTTTTAAACACCAGCGAAGTGGCTGTGGCTTTGCTCGACAACACAACCAGTTGGAGGTGAAATACTGTCGAAGAAAAGAGAAGTAAAATACTTTTCTTTTGCCATTTGTGTCAGGCTCGTAGCTTTGGGAGAAAAATGAGAGGATTCCTTCACTGTGTGGTTTCTGAAATCATGGTTGGTTTAAAAATAAAACACAGAAAAACACTGCAGGTGGTGGTGCACAGCTGCAAACTGTAACACACTGAAATAGCTGGTGTGTCCCCAGGCATGATGGGTAATGGCTGGTGAGACACAGAAAATAACATGAGAGGATGTTTCTGGTGGTGAGAGGAAACTCCCAGGCGGTTTCTCTGTCGGCGAAACCTGCTATGGAACAGACGGGTGCAGTCACGTCGGGTTTGTGGTTCTGGTTTTTCTTCGAAGTTCTTCCACATCTCCTCGTGGCTTCTCTACGCCGCTTAGTTCATTCTGCCGTAACCATGTTACTGCATCTCATAAAACCTAAAGATAAAACAAAACCAGCTGCTTCTCTTTCGTTAAAAACCGTGAACATGGCTGAAATATCGGCTTCTCTCGTAAAAGAAAAACAAAGACAAGACAAAGTTTAAAAAACGGTTTTGGTAGAGGTCGGCATGTCTGCCGGAGTGTTGGATGTGAAGGGGGGAGTGTTGGTGGAGGGACGGAGGAGGAGAGCGGGGTTACGGCCTCTCCAGAGATGGCGTGTTAAAGCAGCCGTCGGGTAACGTGTTCTTGATGTCGTTGAGGTTGGCGATGTCAGCACGGATCTCGTGGATCTGCCGGTCATAGTCGTTGATCATCTCCTCTTGGGTCCGTGCCACATCGTTCAGCTCCGCCAGCTTCCTGTCCAGGTCGCCTTCAGCCATCTTGTCCTTGGCCCTCTTCAACGACTCATCGATCTGATTTAGTTTGCTCAGGTCCACCTTATCGATATTTCCTGCAGAGGTGACAAAGGACAGAACAGACCAGGCCTGACATCACAATCAATCAGAACCAATCAGACAAAGCCACGAATGCGTCTTTGATTAACTATTTCCTGAGACAACATGTTCTGGTCACTGATGTAAATGTCAGCTGACCGCCTGGTTGCTGTCCGCAATGGCTACACCTGCAGCGGAATTTCCAAAAAACTTCAAGGCAAAATGGAACTCAGTGACTCATGACTTTTAACATCACTTCACTTTTTATATCTTACTTTTGTAGCTTCTACGCTGATGTTGTCTGCTGAAGCATGCAACGCCTGGAGGCAGCTGCTGTTGACCAGACAAGTTCTGGGGAACCCGAGTTCATAGGTAGAATCAAGTTGGTTTTGTGGAGACTGCTGCTGAATGTTATCTAAAACTATCTGAAGTGGACTGTTTATATGCGGAAAACTGCAGGGACAGGTAAAAGACATTCTTCCATTCTGACCAGTTTAGCAGAAGAAAGTAGTGGGTGTTGAAAACCAATGACATGATCCTGCACACACTCGTCTCACAGAGCTAAACGTGACTCAAATCGTGGGGATGCTGCTCAGTACATACCCAGCTGGTCTAGCAGGGCGGTGATGGTGTTCAGCACAGTCTTCACAGCACTCTTGGCCTTGCGGGCGTTGTCCTCCGCCTCCTTAGCGCTGTCTGATGCCTGCAGGACAGAACGCAGCCTTTAGAAACTGTTTTCAGACACTGGTCTGATGTTACGATGTCTGCTGTTCTCAACGGAGCCGGGCCGTACCATTGCAGCCATCATCATGTCCTGGTCGGCCTCGGCCTTCTTCTTGGCCAGCTCCTGTTCAGCCGCACCCAGCTGATCCATCATGTCGTTGACCTCGTTGTCCAGCTTGCTGGTGTCCTGGAAGGCCTTCTCTGCATCCTCCTTGGTCTTGGTGGAGCCCTGACAGGACACAGGAATTATTTACAGCGAGGAGGATGAAGGTGCAGACAGCAGCTCGTCAGGTTGCTGATGTACCTTCTGCACGTTGCTGGCGATCCTCTCGGCCTCCTCCGCTTTATTCTTGGCCATTTGGGCGTCTGCTGCAGCGCTGCCAAGCGCCGCCTCTGCCTGTCTGGTCTTCTCGTTGGCGGCTATGATGGTGGCGTTGATGGCGGGGATCTTCTTCATGGCCTCCTCAGCGGCGGTCTTGTTGTCATTGACCCTCCTGTCAAAGTCTGCAGGCGAATAACAGGTTATGAATGAAAAAGAAAAGTCCAGGAGTCTGCATCAGGAAATAAATCAGTTTCAGATTAACCCTTTATTTATGCCTGAACATATAAAAAACACATTCACCTAAATGTTTCTTAGAAACATTTCACCTTTGTTAACTCAAAAACCTGAACCTCTTAATAATCCTGAGATTTCATATATATTTCAAAGAATTCACAGCTTAATTTACACATCAATGTGAAGGACTTGTTTAATGTAAAAGAGACTGACAAGTAAACAGTCATACAGATAAACAGCCTGAGTACCTCTGAGGTCACTGAGGATGGTCTCGGCCTCCCTGAAGGTCGACTGACCCTTCTTCGCCGCCTCCTCGGCCAGAGCTTTGGCTGCGTCAGCTCGAGCCAACAGCTGATCTGCAGTCTGTCAAGCACAAACAGAAAAATGGCATCAGCAGCTCCAGGTGTAACTGCTGTCACCAAGGTGATACTCGATCATTTCCGTTTAAACCACAGAAATCGTCGCTGATGCATTCATCTCTTCCAGAATGGATTACTGTAAACCCATCATTGTCGGAATGAACCAGGCACCACATCTTCTCTGGTTCATAGGACAGAAATCAGCTGCATAACACACAGTCAACTAGAGTACGAGCTAAAATATAGTGCCCTTTTTGTCCTTTTTGAATTGAAAATCGCACTAAATTGAATCGTTAGCTTGCCAAAGATTCCCACCCCTATGTCAGACCTCTGCGGTTGTTTCTCAAGCCATTCACATTACGGCCCCTGCAGACGTATTGGAGCTCCCTGTCCACTCTTAGAACTCTAAGGCCTTCTGACAAGTCTGTAGAGATCCTCAGTCATCCAGGTCATGGTACATTCAAAAGTGCTGTAGCTGGCAACTGGACGTGTTTCAGGGTCTTAATATTTCACCTCTCATCAAACCAATGAGCCATTTCTGCTTTACTAGCCTGTATCCTAGACTTGCTAGAGAACTGGTCCCTGAGCGTTAAAGGAATGGTTCAGCAATACACAGAGGGATATAGGGTCTGTGGCTCTGCTACAGGGGAACCAGTCCACCTGCCAGCAGCTGGACAGCTCTCTGCTCAGTTGTAACCATGACCTGTTTTCTGAGGACAGGCTCAGAAGCTCCTCAGCGAACCCACCTGCTGCTCACTTTTGCCTTTCTCCAGCAGTTTGCGGACTTCCTGCTCTTTGGTCTTCAGGTCGTCTCGGAGGTCGTTGTACTCCTTCTCTGTTTTATCAATCAGATTGCCCAGGTCCAACGCCTCCTTCTTGATCTTATTGGCTTCATCCTAAAACAGAAGCAGCGGTCAACACTCCAGCCTGAGGAGGGAGGGGAAAGAAAGAGGATGTGCTCTGACTGCAACAGTCACCTCCAAGGCCTTGGTGTCCAACGGCGGGAGGCTGGTCAGGTTGGCGAAGAGCTTCAGAGCTTTGTTTCCGGCGTCTTCAGCCTCAGCCTGAACCTTGTTGGCTTGTTTCTCTAGACTCTTGGCCAGCTCCTTCGCTTCATTGTACCTGAGCAGGACAATCCGAGTAGACATCACACATACATGGACAGAAGGAGAAGGACAAGTTTATTCCCTGAGTGGCGTTAAAAGAAATACTGGACCTGGTCCGTGAAGTTTTTAAATGTGATGACAGAGGAACAAAACTAGGGAGGCTGCAGTGCGACGTACTTCCTGTTGAGCTCGTCGATCTCCTGGCTCGTCTTGCCCTCTCCATCCAGAGTCTTCAGCAGCAGGTTGTACGCTTTGGTTGATGTGTCATTGGCATCTTTGGCGATCCTCTCAATCTGGTCAGCATCCTTCTTGTGCCTGAGAATCACAGATAAAAGGAAAAATGAAAGTGGGTAAATTCAAAATGCATCAATTCCAGTGCCATTGAAAAAGTCAAGTTTCAGTATAGACACTGTGATGTCATCCCCAAAGGTCAGAGATTTAAACGTGGTTTTCTACAGAGTTTATTGAATTTGGTTTTCTCATGTTAAATGTTTAAACATGAGCAACCGCACAAGAACTCAGCCTGAATAAAATACAGTTGATTTAAATCAGGAAGTATCTGATCAGCGAGGTTGGTCCAGTCCAAGCGCCAAGGTCCGGGGCCTGACCACAAACCTGGTCTGCGACACTGGCAGCAGGTTTCAGCTCGAAATTATATCGAAGCTGTCCGGAGGAACACAGTTAAGACATAATACGTGTGAAAGATGATGACAAACCACTAGAATATGAATCTTATCACACTTTGTCATTCAGCTCTGTTTTCAGGTCGGCCAGGTAATAATCCCAGGATCATCACAACTAGTTACATTGTTAGACAAATGTTTGTTACAGGGCTTCATGAAAAACATTTAACATTTTTTTTAAATTGATATCCACTTGTTCTTCTATAAAATCTTTTGTTAATGCTGTTGAACAGAAGACACTTGGTCTGAAATAATCATTTCCATCAGGAACTCTGGTGTCAGGTTTTGACATGTGTCAGTCAGGACTGAAACAGGCCGATGAGCAGCCCCAACAAGCCTGTGTGTGTAGTCTGGAAAGAAAACCTTTTAAAATTCAGGGAAAACCACAACAAACAAAGACATGACTGAGGCTGAAAGTTCATCTACTGTAAAACTTTAACCTTGCTGACTTCAGGACAACAAACTCCATCTGCTGATGAAGGTCATGTAAAACAAACAGAAACAAACTAAATAGATCTCCTGGTGAGTTTGTGTGGATGATAAATGCTGAAGATGTGAATGGCCTCTCAGGGGAAGAGGTGTTCGTATCTCAGGCTGTAAAAACTGCTGCAGATGAAACATTAAAACCAAGCTTCAAAGTGAACTGAGGTGGTTTTCTTGCTTGAGCTGAGGATTTCCTGAACCTCAAATATTAGAGCCTTGGAATCTTTGGCTTCATGTGTTGTTTCTAATCCCACAGCAGTGGAAAAAGAGTTCAACACACATTGGTACGCGAGTTTTAAACTGCAGCACTGTGTAGCACCAACAGGAAGTGCTTTTGTTCGTGATGCATGCTAGTGCTGCACTTACTTCTCAGCCAGGATGCGAGCCTCCTCAGCCAGCAGCGTCATGTTGTTGGGCTCTCCAGTACCACTTGGGGGCTTGATGTCCTGCACAAGACACCAACATCAGCTCTGTTAATATACCATCCAGCCGTGGGACACCGCGGCCTTTCGGTCTGTACCGGACTTCATCTTCACACAACAAATCCCTAAGATCCTGTGTGTGTGTGAAGCATTGCAGGATCCTCCTATCACTGCAACGGCTGGTTGTCATGTGGTAGCAGGTAAAAACACAACAGAGGAGCTGCTCTTTACACAGAGAGGACACATGTCCAAGAGCTACCATGAGAGTCCAGTGAACAAAATGCAGCCGTGCTTTAGTCCAGTAAATACGTTGTTGTGGAGAAAAAGCCCAAACACTCGAAGAGATTCTGCATGTGACCAACAGACCAGAGCGGTGACTCTAACCACAAGGCCCCACTCACCACTTTGCCGATGGCATCTTTGGCCTTGTCCAGCTCCTGTCGGGCTCGCTCGATCAAGTTCTCGGCATCTTGGACCCGGTGGCGGGCGCGGTCGGCCTGGGCGCCGGTGTCGTCCACCATGGTGCGGATGTTCTGCAGGCGGTTCCACTGTGTGGTCAGACTGCTGTTGATGTTGTTGAGACGGTCCAGAAGGCCTCTGTCGATGTCTGCAGGGTCAAAAGGTCACATTAACCAGTGTCACAACAATGTTTGTCTTCCGATTACAAGCTCTTCAACAAACAGACCGGCCTCAGGCTTCATAAACACTACACATCTGGTCTGGAATCAACACCGGTGGAATGAAACCAAGAGAAATTACTCAAGAGCAAATTCAAGGCACTTGTACGTGACCTGAATATTTCCATTTTAGCATCTCGGTGGCGCATATTGCACTTTTTACTCTAACAGTGTGCTGGGTACCTTTGCTGGCCTTAGCCTCCTCCAGCAGCTCCATGATGACTCTCTCGGCCTCCTTCAGTCGATCCTCGAAGGCCTTATCACTGACGGTCTCCTGACCCGAGCCCAGGTTATCGACCAGAGTCTGCAGGTCATGGAGCTTCTGCCTCTGCTGGTTCACCTGCAGAAACGCACACACATCACGTGAGAACCAGCAGTGCACGTTACACCCTGTGTTCACCACAAATGTACTCAGCCATCCTCACCTTGTCCCTGACCAGGCTGTAGCAGGATGGACACTGCTGGCAGCCCGGTGCCGAGCGGTTGTAGAAGTAGTTCTCCTCACACATGTCGCAGCGAGCTCCGACGAAGCCAGGCCGACACTCGCAGCGACCGTCCTCCTTACACTGACCCGACTGCGAGCCCTCAGGGTCGCAGTCACAGGCTAGAGTCGCACAGACAAGAAAGTGGTGTGAAGAGACGGCACTGATCCTGGCTGACATCTGTACTAGTCACTCATCTATCCGCAGCTTCTCCAAAACAACCCCACACACACCACAGGAGTAAAAAAGACTCAGTGTGACTGTCAGCGGTGCGACGAGGCTTACGTTTGCAGCCGGATGAGCTGAAGCCGAAGAAGTTGACCTCGCAGCGTTCACAGTGCCGGCCGGTGATGCCGGGCTGACACTCGCACTGACCTGTAGTGATGTCACACTGACCGTTGGTGGAGCCAATGGGATTGCAGTTACATCTGTGGAAACGGGCGAGAGAGACATTTAAAATGCAACTCCGCAACTCAGACAAATCTGGACTGAGCGTGGACGTAAATGCTTGAACTTTGCAGCCTTAGTCTTGGCAGACTGGTCCCTGAGAAGCATAGTTAAACCTGCTGCAACTGTGAAAGATTAAAGCTGAAGCCATCTGACCGTTCGCAGCCGTCGCCACTCTGCAGGTTGAAGAAGCCGGGCTGGCAGGCGCTGCAATCTCGCTCCGAGACATTGGGGAGACACTGGCACTGACCAGTGACCTGGGAGCAGCTGGTCTGCCGGCCCACGGTACCGAACGGAGAGCAGGAGCAGGCTGAGGATGACAGACATGGGCCAGAGTCAGACACCTCTGGGGCTAACCTGATGCACGTTAGGCTGGAACAACATGCTGATGAAGTGGCGAGCAGGCCGGTAGAACCCCAGCCGTCCAACACCAAACAGCTGGAAGTCAATCACCTACAGTAACACTGCAGCAGCTGATCCCAGTCCGAGCTCGGACACACGACTACTAACACAGGCCTCTGCTCTTGGCGGACAGAGGCCTTCTTTGAACTGAAGCTGTTTGGTTCGTGTTGTTTGTTGGTTGGTTGTGACTCTCACCTGCTGTGCAGACCTATGACATCCTCATCTTGCACCTGAGCAATCAGCTGGCACACCTGGAGATATGAGCTGCAATTTCCACATCACTTCTGCTGCCACCACACCTCTGTTTTTTTTTTTTTTTTTTTTACTGTTGGGACTTTACTCTGATACACATTGAATAAAAGTGGATCTCACACTACACACCGTGTGATGACCGTGTTACCAATCTATCATTTGGTTAATTTAAAAAAAAAAAAAATCTGATTGATCAACAGGAAAAAAAAACTGTGTTCCTCAGACATTTTGACTGGATTCGTATTATTTTTTAATTAATCAATATTTCCTACATTATTTATATATTTCAACGTCCAGTGTCACCTGTATTTTCTATCTCCCTCAGCACAGACAACTGCGATGAGCTGAGTAATAACTGAGGAGCTACAGCAGCCAGGTAATGAGTGTAGAAATGAACCCGAGTCAAGTAAAAACTGATTCTTTAACAGCTGCATGTTCCTGTGTCATTGCTGATTGAAGCTGCTGACAGTTGGTGTTCAGTTCTCAGTATTCTCCAGCTTTAAATTCGGAGGTGTCAGCCTCGAATCCAGGCTCGTTACCAATACCCAGGACTTACGTTTGCACTTGTCAGCGGGGTTGGCGGCCAGGGCATTGCCGTAGAAACCCTCCTTGCAGCGGTCACAGAAGAAGCCGGCGGTGTTGTAGATGCACTTGAGGCACTCTCCAGTCTCGCGGTTGCAGTTGCCAACAGCATTGGGGTCGATGTTGTCACTGCACTTGCAGGCGCGGCAGGCTCGTACCGGACCGCTCTGACCCAGAGGGTCCCCAAAGAAGCCGTCGTCACAGAGCTCGCAGCGCTTACCTGCACACAGGAAGCACTGTTGTAAGGAGGGTGTACAGGTCAGCTGTTTCACACAGCTGGACTTGATCAGTCACTAAAAATAAAATCCCAGCTTTCAGGGGGAAACTCAGGTCACTGTGTTTGTGTTGCCATGTTTCTTCCATGTGTTTTGAGGTTGTGGTAAAATTCAAAAGATTTGGTTTGATAGAAAACAGTTTTGATCAGATAAACTGGAAGTGAAATTTATACTGGAAACATTCCCACATTTTATTGAGCTCCAACAGCGTGAGGAGCTAGAGGAGTAGTGCAGCGGTGTGGCTCACTGGGGGGGTTTAATAGCTGGTGGACAACAGAGGAGGTCTACGGCACAGAGCAACAAGCTGGACCAGGGTCTGGACTCACACACATTACGGTGGTGTACTGGTCTCTTGACGGGGTTTGTGGGGACTGACACAGACAGACAAAACCACCAGTTGCACCCTCTAACCTTTCTGTCAGACCTTTCCGTCCCTTTTGCCTTCCTTTTTAACAAGTTCTCTGTTACTGTTGTAATTATTTTCAGGGCAGTCTTTTATCCTGCTGGACCAAAAACCCACACTAAGCAACTGTAGAGAAGAGAAAAACCTGGATGTAGAAAAGTGTTCACGGTCACATGACGCTGGAGCTGTGTGACCAGGTGCGAGTACCTGTGGTTCCAGTGGGACAGTTGGTGCACACCACCTCTCTGGTCTTGGGGACGACAGCGCAGGTGGCTCCGGCCGGACATGGACACGGCTTACAGTCCCCTGAAGTCCCCTGTGTGGCGTCGCCATAGAAACCGTCTTCGCAGCGCTCACAGCTCAAACCAGCTGTGTTGTGCTGACAGTCGCAGGCTCCTGGGTGGACAGAGATGGCAAACAGGCAGTCAGCACCAGACAGACAGACAATAAAACTTGCTTTCACAGCAGCTTCACTGTGATTTCGCTTTGGTGAAAACGTCTGCTGTGATGTCAGATTCCTCTACCTTCCGTAGCTTCTGCTCTGCATTCATGTTTTTCAGCTTGTCCTGATGTTTTGTCTCGTAGTGCCGTCTTAGGTTATATTCCTTAATTACAGCCACATTAGCTCCACAAATAAGACACACGGGTTTACCAGCAATGTCAGTAAACATATACTCAGCCTCCCACCGGTTTGAAAGGCTCTGTTTTCAGAATCAACTTTTCTCTTGGCCAATGTTAGGGACTAGATTTGACTTGAAATTAGGGTTGTATACATCAACAGATGCTTGATTGATCTGACGTAATTGACGCAGCAACGATCGCAGGTAGCCTATAGTTCGGTAAGGCAGCTGTTGCACTGCATTAAGGGATTTGTAGTTTGTGTGTTATTGCCATTTAAAAAAAAAAAAAAAAAAAAAGATATAAAATGATCTCGCGGGCCAGATGTAATTGTACGCTGGGCAGGATGTGGCCCGCGGGCCTTGACTTTGACACATGTGCACTAAAACATATGTAAACCAGTAAAACCAGTCAGCGCTGACCTGTGACGGGGTTGCAGGCTTCGCTGTGTCCGTTACAGTTGCAGGGCTCACAGGCGCTGAAGGCCCCGAGTGCTGGTTGGGCGCGGCGGTATCCCAGAGTGCACTGCTCACAGTGCTGACCGTGGTAACCCTGAGGACAGGTGCACTGCTCCACCCAGCGGGCCGGCACACCCGGGCCCCGCCTCGCCGTCACCAAGGAGACGTCGTCAAGGTAACCAGCACCTGGAGAGATGGATTCATTAGCAACTAATGCTGACCCCAGCCACAAGTGTTGGTGTCTGCGTGTGTGTCTGTGTCACGCAGCGTACTCTTCTCGCTGTAGGTGCCGCGGATCTTGATGGACGTCAGGTTGTGGAGAAGTTTCTGGAAGTCGGAGTGGCTGATGGTCGGCCTCCAGGGGTAGTCGGTGCTGTCATGGAGCCTGAACCAGAACCAGAGCAAACACACAATCAGCAACAACACATATTAACAGATTATAATCTGAATTTAAAACCGGATTTGGACCCTCCTCACTGAGAAGATCTGTTTTATAAAGTCCAGTTGACCAGATTGAGCAGATTTAAATCCAGATGTGCAGACTATGATAAATAAAACCAGCTTAAATGAATCCATATTAACAGATCATTAGCAGATCATTACCATTAACTTGATGTCAAGAAACCCAATTTAAACCAGATTAACAGACTGGAATTCAGTCTTACATAGAAAAAGTCTCGTCTGTCAATTCAGATGTAAAATAAAACTCTATCGCATTGAAACCAGAATAACAATTATTAGTAGAGTCCAACTAAACCCAGATTCAACTGCTGAAACCAGATGTTCACAGGTCTCTGACATGTGAACACTTGGACAGGTGTGAGCGACGGATCAAAACCAAACCAGGTGAATCAAACCGAGTCTACCTGCCTCTGGCGTCTCACCTGAACACGTATGTCTGCTTCTCCTCGTTGGGGTAGGCATTGCCCTGGGCAATCAGGGGGACGGCCACCCTCAGATTGGCGCCCTCTAGAACGAGATCCTCTGCCGACAGGCGGGTGTCGCGCCGCTCCACGCGGAAGCTCAAACTCAGGTTCTGTCCATAACTCAGCAGCCGGTTGCCCAGAAACTTGGCTGTGACACAGAAACCGTATGAGACAGGAGAGTTGAAGTGGTGTGTGTGTGTGTGTGTGTGTGTGTGTGTGTGTGTGTGTGTGTGTGTATACCTGGGGCTATGAAGTACATGGGGAAGTAGTCGTCTGAGATGAGTGAGATTTCCTGTTTGCTGGGAGACCACTGGACCGGGACTCTGGATCCATCACGCTGCTGTGCGCTCCACTGCTCGTCATCTGACACACACAAAACACAGCTGTAAACAAACACACACTGCTGTGGTTCATTTTAACTGATCTCACCAGTGGGTTACTTCCCCCAGCATTTTGCCTGCAGGTTGTGTTACCTCTGTGGAAGGACGAGCTGATGGTGTGGACGCTGAAGCCTTCAGCACTGTCGCACACAGACGAGTGCTGGAAGCAGAAGCAGGGGGTGCAGCCCTGAGGGTTGTTGGGGTCCAAGTTGAAGAAACCCAGTTTACACCTGACAGACAAACAGAAGATGTTAGAACAAACACCTCCATCACTCTGAGCTCAGCTGTGCTGCTGATGTTTACGTCTCCAGATGAGACAGGAAATCTGCTGCATGTCCCACTTCACCACAGAGGTCAGGCTCATGCTGTGACTGTGCATCACTTTCTCAAACCATCTTCATGAACTTAAATGCTGCATCAGTTGTTTTTGCTATTATTTTCTGTCACTTGTGCTTCTTGCCCTCCATTGCTTACTGCTCCTTTTATTCTTCCACATCTTTACTTTGTCCATCTACATTTCCTTCCTTCCTTGACTTCCTGTGCGGCTGCCATGTTCCTAACTTGTCCCAACCTTCTGACCACAAAGGAAAAACATGCACGAGCAAAAAAACGTGCAATGGTACAGTACAGCTAATCAGCAGATCTCAGATATTTTAGACTAAAGTATTTCTAGTGAACACTGTGGTGTCAGTGGTCTGCCAGTTAAACCTGCAGGCGAGTCCAAACTTAGAGGACTCTGTTGTGTCTCTCAGTAACACCCAGGTGTAGTTCAGATGTGCAGTGTGTGTCACCTGTCGCAGCTGAAGCCCTCTACGTTGTCTTTACAGCGACACTGTCCTGTGTGGACGTCACACTCCTGAGTGCTGCCGGAGGGCGAGCATGAACACGGCCTGGCAGAAAGGAGGGGGTGGGGGGTTATATTTATATCACAAGTTTAATTAAATTGAGAGAGCAGGTGAGAGCGTGCTGGGCGGACAGAGAGAGAGAGACTACCAGCAGAGGGCGCTCAGTGAGCAGTCAGGGTTAAAAGGACAATTGGTTACATTCACTGTTTACACCAGTGCTACAGGCCAGGACCTGGACTCACTACATAAGATTTTGCCAAAATCATAAATATTATTAAATAAATGTACAGGCAGTTTTTGCTGACATTAACTGTGCAGCATTTTTCTTCTTCACATCTCCAGACATGAAGGACATTACGCTGCCGACAGCTCTGATCCCAGGCAGGATAAAGTTAAGTTTTCACTCTCTCTTCACTTGTGTGCTGGGAGGATAAACAGAGATCCTGCCTGAACCAAAACATTATTACAGAGCACACACATGATCCCCCAAACAGGGCCATAGGTGAACCTGTGTCCATCTTTACAGGAATGTTCTATTCTTGTCATACTGTCAACAAATCCCATGAAGCCACTCAAACCAGCAGTGAATGTGTCCTGCTACAGGCCCTCTGGTTTATCTGTGCCACAGAGCTCCACTGTCCACAAGCTAGAGCAACATTTGCATCAACTCTGAAGAGTAGTTCCTGCAGGGCGGAGGTCACAGAGCATGCTCAGAAACACGAGTCCATTTACACTGCTCCACTAGTTTGTTGTGCTGCATCTCGACGTTCTCAGACTGAAGTCTGGCACCGAGTCTGGTCAGTGAGATGGATTCAGAGAACAACGTACGGGACAGTCTGGGGCAGATGGTGCAGTCTGATGTGTCGCCAACACCAGGACATCTCAGCTCCCCTGAGGCCCAGGGCGTTGGACGGACAAGAAACAGACACATCACTGATAAACCAGAGTGCCTCCATATTTCAGAGTGAGGGAACCCAGTGCAGCGGTGTGGCTCACTGGTGTGTTTTAATGGTTTGCAGACAATGTTGGAGGTCGAGGCTCCAGATGGAGAAAAGATCGCACACAGTGACACACACACGCAGACGGCCAGTGCTGGGATTTGTTGACAGCAAGATAAACAGGAAACTACCAGCCTTACCTTCACACCAGATCCTAAACACAATGAACACAAATATTGACATGTGAAAAGAAGCAAGTGGTGAATTTCTGCCCAAACTGTGAAAACATGAGGGTCAGGGTGCGTCTGGAGTCATGAACCGCAGCCCCACTGGGCTCAGTGCTGAGCTGCAGGTGTGTGTGTTGGGTGTGTACCTGCAGCCGGCCTCGGTCAGACTGTGGTACCCCGGCTGGCAGCGGTCGCACTTCTCCCCAGTCACTCCTGGTTTACACGCACACACCCCTCTGTTGTTGCACTGAGGAGACTCCGAGCCTGAGAAGACACACCAACTGTCAGCACATTAACCTGCTACCGATCAGCTCCCATTAACAAACCATTACTGGCATAAGAGTGTCACTGGAGACCAAGTGTGGCAGCTGGTTCACGTTGACCTGCTGCGTTCGTTCGGACTCCACCAGAACCATGAGTCCTTTCCTGAGATTTCACACGTGTCAACAATTCGCGGACGCTTCCATTCTGCTGTGTGTTTTCAGCCACAAAGAGCTCTACTCGTCCATGTCAGTGTATTTGTGTCTCAGTTCTGGGTGCACTATGGGCACAGGAAGTGATTTTGTTATGTTGCCGCTGTTTGTTCCCTGCCTATGAAAACAGCTCAGGTTCAGCTGAGTTCAGTTGAGCTGATGGAAATGTGAGCAAAGACTCACACCCTGCCTATGAAAACAGCTCAGGTTCAGTCAGGTCCATCTATTTGTCAGAGCTGATGGAAACATGAGCAAAGACTTCTGTGTGTTCACGTGTCTGTGAGAAACATCCCGTTTCTATGAGTCAGCTCCTGAGAGACACTGACTTTTCAGGTGTTCTTGTAAGAAAACAAGAGGAGGAAACTCTGCTTGAACATTTCTTCCTTCTCTACTCTCAGACACGGTTTCCTTAAACAAACTCAACCTGCCCAGTTCAGACTTGTTTGAAAACCTTCAGTCCCCTCACATAGAAAACAGGCTACGGGAGGCTGGTCAGACACCACAGAGGCAGCGCGGTTCACCGTGCACACGCTGCTGCTGGAAATAGGTGTGGATGAAAAGCACAAATTGTTCGATACCAGGTGGACCAAAGTGACAAAGGATCCGCCTGGAACAAAAAGCTGCTTCACTGAACTAGTTTTATATTCAGAAGCCAGTGAGAGTTAGGGTTGTAGCGGTAGATGGTACACCATGGCAGGAAAACCGATGGTTATCATGGGCATTTACTCAGTGATACTGAAGAAAAACAAGCACAGTGTGTGTGCACCTGTGTTCCCTGACTGCCTGTCAGGCGCACATGCAGCGATGAACGGCAAAGAGGACGGGGCTGAAATCAACAAAATCCATCCAGCAAAACAGAAATTTAAAACAGCAGCGCAAATTAGCTTGAATATCTCAAAAACGAACACCTTTGAAGACACTGTCTCTCCGTACAGGTCAGAGTGTGTGACTTGTTTATAACTTTAATCCCAAACAATAAAAACTGGTTATAAAACGCACCACAGAAATAATTTTCCACATTGTCTGTTCGTTGGCTGATTTCTGACTTACAACAGGACTCACACTGATCCTGATCCAAGCCCAGAAACACACACACCAACTTTCCTGGCTCGTGTGTGTGTGTGTGTGTGTGTGTGTGTGTGAGTGAGTGAGCAACTTTCTTGGCTCGTGTGTGTGTGTGTGTGTGTGTGTGTGTGTGTGAGTGAGTGAGTGATGGTAGAGCAGGACCAGTCTGGCACCTACTTTGATAATCGTTTACATGATTGTGATGGCACCTCCCATTTACAAACCATTTAACTGAGTGAAACAGAAGCTGAAGCGCGTTTCCCCGCTCTGAGGTCAGTCTGAGCCGTCACTCACCGATGGTGTTGCAGCCGCAGGGCAGGCAGCGGCCGCTCTGCTCCCTGTAGTAGTAGTCGAGGCAGCGCTCACAGTTGGGGCCGTCGGTGTTGTCGGCACAGTTCCTGCAGTGACCCCCGTGACCCGTGGCCCGGTACAGCTCTGCATCGAAGTAACACTCTGAGCTTTTCCCATTACAGTTGCAGGCTGAGAGAGAGGCAAACGGGACTCATTAGAAAGCACCAGATAAACCTAATGTTAGTGCAGCCTGAGTGTGGGTTACTGCCAGCTGCTGCTCCAGACCTGCATGGCAGAAGAAGGTGTGTGTAGTACAGCAGTAGTAGTAACAGCTAACAGGGTTAAATCAGGTGAACCCTTGGCTCCACTTCAACATGTAAATGTG